ATTAAACGATTACCACACGTTTTGCTAATCTGGATGCAAGATGACTCGGGTACTGGTCTCCAGGTAGTCATTACCAGTTGCTTTGGTTTGGATGTGACAAGTCCCTAGTGTTTGAACACTTGGCCCTCAGCAAGCAAAAATATTTGGTGATATGGTGGGACCTTTAGAAAGTGGGCCTATCTAAAGGAAGTGATTCAGTACAGAGTGGGTCTTTGATATTATAGCCACTTTTATACTTCTGCCGCAAGTCCTGTTTTCTGTCCAACGCCATGGGAACAAGTGGCTACTCAGACTCCAGCTGCCACCGGGCTTCTTTCTGTCATGTTTTCCTCCACCATGATGGACTGTATCATTCTGAACTGTGAGCCAAAATAACCATCTCCCCAGTAAGCTGCTTCCGGTCAAGGAGGAGGAGAGTAAGTAACACTTTGTCAATCACCCCCAGCATAAACAGTACCTGAGCAGCGCCTAGCTTGCTGCAGTTTTGACATCTCTTCCTACCCTGATCCCTGCTCATCTGTTTCCTGTCACCACTCTGGGCCCAAACTACTTAAACTACTGGTCAACCCCAGATGCACTCATTCCTCAAAGCTTTCATTCTGTGCATTCTCTAGAAGGACCCGCCATCTGATTGTTGAATCTTCGATGTTGTTTCTCCTACCTTCCATGGAACTAAAGACTTACTGGCCTTTTGGACTGGGCTGGCCTTGAACTTGCTATGTAGCCAAGCCTGCCTTGACCTCCCGACCCTCCTGCTTCCACCTCCCCAGGGCTGAGATCACAATCTGTAAATGAATCATTCAGCACGAGTCTGACTTTCTGCAGGCAATCCTGTAACTCAGGTCTGGCCAGAGGTAGGTGGGCAGGATTGACACATGGCTCTTCCTCCAGTTCTGATGACCTGCGCTCGACTACTCCGAGCTCATTCATTCTCCTCTCATGCTGGTGAAAGTCTAAGCAGCTGCTAGGGCCTCGGGAAATCTACAAGACACAGACAACACAGCCACCTCCCTGTCCTGCACCAGGCTCCTGGGTCACACTCAGTAAGAGACATCTACCCTCTGACGTCCCTTTACTTAGATCTTGGTCATAGTGACAGATGAGGCTGTACTTTATTTTTTTCTTTTTTCCCTGAGAAATAAAGGGTTTATCTGTAGCTTTGGAGCCTGTCCTGGAACTTGCTCTGTAGACCAGGCTGGCCTCGAACTCGCAGAGATCTGCCTGTCTCTGCCTCCTGAGTGCTGGGATTAAAGGCGTGCACTACCACCACCTAGCGAGCCTGTACTCTTATTGAGTGTACCCTCTTAGTTGCTTCATTGCTCTGTATGGCCAACCTCCAGGGCCACCTCCTAGGTGACATCTGCCTTGTGTTCCAGGCTTCTTGGGGCTCTCTGGCACTTCATAGTGCTCCTCACAGAATGTCTAAACCACATGGTGGCTGTGCCATCGTCTGCTGGCCTGGCCAAAGCAACTTTTCCTCTCCCCTCCATCAATCTTCTAGTCTTGTACCTGTACTAGGGCTGACAGGCTGGTGGACTACATCACCCCATGTTCCCACTCTCGCCGCCCAACCCCTCTAGCTTGATATTCGAGGTCCCAGACTCCCCATCCCGTAAGAGACCAAGCCTAGGCAGAAGGTATGGGTTCCCCAGCAGCCTGCCGGCTGCCAGCCCCACCCAGCCCCAGCACGACGGGCCTGAAGGAGCTGTTTCCTTGCCAGCTGGAGTCTATATTGTCCTGCTCTTAGTAAGAACAGGGACAGAGAACGGGAGAATTTCCCCGATCTTTGTATTGGCCTCAAGTGGTCTAGGAAGTCCCACGGTACATATATCTGTTCTCAGGACCCTCCCCCTGCCCTGTGTGTTATGCAAGTGGCCCACACCCATTCCTCAACTTCTGGCTGCTGTGGCCCTCCTCCCTGAGGCTTGACCTCTGGCATCCTGCCCTGAGCCTGTGAGCCCATCACTCCCCTGGCAATCAGTGGAAGCGGCAGGATGCTGGAAGAGAGCTATTTTGGGGCAGGGAGGATCTTGGGAGGATACTGGCGAGGTCAGTGTAGGAAAGGAAGGAGCCAGGTTTTCTGCCCATGATTATGAGTCCTGAGCCCTCTGAACGCTCTGAGCCGAGAGACCCATGGCTGCCACAGGGAAGAGCACATCCGCCACAGGACTCCAGCTCTGGCCTCTTTTGACCACAGAAGCCAAAGGGGGCAGGCGTAGGTTTGGAGCTGTAGGATCTGATCCATCAGCCACCATGGGCAGAAAGAAAGTATCATTTGCTGTGTCCAACAGAGGGAATTCCAGGGCTAGCAAGACTAAGGTATAGTGCAGGGCAACACAGGTGGAGTGGATTGATGGTGGGTGGAGACTATGAGGCAGACTCTAGTCACTTATTGACATTGATTGAGTACCTACTGTATACAGAGACACTATTAAGTGCTAGCAGGACAAGGGTGTGTAATACTTTGTGTTTGTGTGTTTTATAATGGCATCAGGAGCTGCAGAGAGATTTGTAAACAGTGACCCCAAGACGATGAACTGAAAGAAGGTGCAGGGGAGGGCTTTCCTGACCCATTTGAGGACCTGCAAGCATCTGGGACGCTCAGGTTCCCCCTCACCTCTTTTCACCACGAGCTTTGGTCTTGTTTTTCAAAAGGCGGTCTCACCTCAGGGTCTCAGGCTAGTCTCTGACTCACTATGAAGCAGAGGATGGCCTTGAACTCCTGATCCTCCTGCCTCCACCTCCTGAGTGCTAGAGTTATAGAAATAAACTACCACACTTTGTGTGTGTGTGTGTGTGTGTGTGTGTGTGTGCACGCTGGGAACGGAACCCAGAGCTTCCTGCAAGCTAGGCAAGCACTCCACCAACTGAGCTCCATCCATTCCCAGCCATGTTTCAGCATCTTGAGGAAGGTTACCCACCAATATGAGACGCTTGCTGCCTGCACACAGTCGGTGCTCACTTGGGGGCAGCGGCAAACACAGCTGTTAGGTAGAGCAGGTGAGTTTCTGTGTTATGGAAATTCTTTCTCTGTGGGGTGAAATGCCTCCGCTTTCCTTAGTCAGCAGGTGCAGGTGCCTACTATGGCCTCAAACATGCAACCAACACTGTTCCCAATGCCAGGGCATGGTAGTTAAGAAAAGAATTTTGGACCTTGGGAGCTCAGTCAAAAAAAATAAAAAAAGAGAGAGAGAGAAATGGGAAGAAGAGATAAATCTTCTGAATAATTTCAGAATAAAATGAAGGATTGTTTTTATGCCTGAATGGTCAGAAAGAAAGAAAGAAAGAAAGAAAGAAAGAAAGAAAGAAAGAAAGAAAGAAAGAAGGAAGGAAGGAAGGAAGGAAGGAAGGAAGGAAAGAAAGAAAGAAAGGAATATTGGTGCATCGTTGACAGACAAGAGACAACAGAGGAAATTAACAGATAATAATAATAATATTGCTTAATATCAGACAATATGCTAACAAGCCTATTCATCTCTTACACATACTTTCCAAGTGGCCTTTACCCTTGTTTCAAATGAAGCAACTGAGGCATAGAAAGGAATCTCTGGAGGCTACGACACAGTTGGTAAATGTCAGAGAGAGAATTCAAAACTGTCTTCCATAGTGCCACTCTTGTTGAAGACAGCAGACAGTTACATAGAGCTTGGGTAGCCCAGAAACCTGTCCAAACCCCATTACCGCATTGTCAGCTACATCTCAACTCACTGATCCTGACATCTCATGGATCCAGCAGAAAGCTTTCTCCAACTCTGGGGCCCAATCTCCTAAGCTCAGAAAGAGGCGCTGGCTTCCTGGGGCTCTGGACACCCTTTGAATTAATCCAGACAAGAGCTTGTGGGACCAGTGACCCTTATCACAGAGTCACATCTTCAGGGATAGCACATCAACCCAGTCACACCTGGCCACCAGGAACCTCCGTTGCACTTGTACGCTTAGGGTGCTGGCTAATCATTGCTGTTGCATCGGATGGGTTTAGAATCACCATGGAAACACATCTCAGGGTACATCTGTGAGGGTATTTCCAGAGAGGCTTAGTCAATGCTTACTCTGGGCATCACCCCACAGGCTAGGATTCCAGAATGGATAACAAGGAAAAAGCAAGCTAGGAAATCAACCTCTCTCCTGCTCCCTTCCCTGACCTCTGAGATGTGAACAATCAGAACCACAGGCAGGGGCTGATTCTGTGGTCCTGCCTTGCCCATCACAATGGACTGCACCTTCTCCAACTGTGAGCTGAAACAAGCGCTTTCTCCCCAAGGTGCTTCTTGCCATGTATTTGGCAAGGGAATGAAAAAGCGATCAATACATCTAATATCTGTCAGTCTTTCTTCCCTGGCTCAGGGAACCTGTGGAGGGTTTCTAGAAGGTTGTAAACTTCTGAAGCTACAGGAGGATCCTCCCAAGAGCCCAGAGGGAGCCTTTTCAGGGCCATTTGCCCACCACAGTTACCTAGGAGGCTTCGGTGTGCACTAGGAGACCCTGAACAAGCAAAGCCTCAAGCAATTATTTAAGCATGTCTCCCCATTTCCTCGAGTCCTTTTCTTTCTGTGCCTTCAAAGGCTTATAGCCCAGCCCAGTGAGTCAAGCAAACAGCATCGATCCCTCCTCTGTCCCTAGCTTAATGAACGTGGCCAGAAGCCAGAGAGGAGGGGTCCTCTCACACACACTCACATGTCTGTGGTGGTTAACTGGCAACAGTGTACTTAAACCCTGCTCCGACTATGATGCCTGCACTGAGCAGGTACTTGGCACATGGCTTTGAATACAGAGAGAGACGGTTGAATGGTGGATGGGTCCATGAATGGATGGAGGGAGAGAGGAAAAGATGGATGGAAGGGAGGGGTGGACGGAAGGATGGAAGACAAGCAGATGCCTCCACAGGAAAGCAACTGAATGAGAGGCGGCAGCCGAGCTGCACAGAAATCCAAGAACTTCTGGGATGTAATCCCTGACCAAGAGACGCTGGTCTGACCTCACCCATTCACAGGGCTCCTTACCTGGTGGGCAGTTACATCCTGGAGATATCTTCGGGGCCTCCCGGCGCCTGCGCGAGTAGAACTTCCATTTCTGCACAAAAAGACAAGAGAAATCACCAGGAGTTCATAAAAGCTCCCGCCGTGGAAAGCTGGCAAGTGGGATGAAGGGGAGTGCGTGGTGGTGGGGCAACCAAGGGATGCGGGGTGGTGGGGATGGTGAAGATGGATGGGACTGCTCTGGGATAGAGTCTGGCCATTCAGGGCCCTCCACTGATCACATGCACAGCCCTGATAGTCTTTGAGGAACTCAAACTCTCCGCATGTGGGTGACAGGAACTAGGATAAAGCTTATCACAGCCATTGTGGCCTCTGCTATCTTCGGTAGGCTCTGCTCAGGACCCTGTAAACCACTGGCTGCCCATGGTGACTCTTATGACACATGTTTCTTATCTCTTTGCTATTGTTTCCTTCTCCAGCTGGGTTCCTGCTCTGCTCACCCCCCTCCAGGCCAGCATCGGCAGGTGGACCTGGTGAGTGATGGGGGGCTGGGAAGGCTCAGCAGACCCCAGACGCCCTGCTCCACCAAACGTCTTCCTCCACACTTTGAAACCACAGAGCCAATCTGGAAGGCCCTAAAGGGGTTGGATACCCCAAGTCCCGGGAAATTGTGTGTGGATGGCAGCAATCAAATCCATCCACGCAAGATGGCACCACATGGCAGACTTTAAGGAGGCCTGTGTCTTCGTGCCCTCTATGCAGAGGGCTGTGTACGGGGTGCTTCACATGGGAATCTTAGGTCAGCCAGGGTAGCACAGGGATTGACTGAGCCCCGTCTGGAGACCCCACTTCTCCAGTTCTGTCATTTACGGCAAACAGCCTGTATTTCATAGGCTTAAGCCGATTCTTCTCCACAGCTGCTTCTGTCTTCGGTGATCCTGGCATCTCCACCAGACGCACTTAACAATGGCCTGGGTTTTCTGACCCTGTCCTATGGAGCCAAGCCTCAAATTTTCTCCTTAAGCACTTCAAGCCCCTAGGTCCCTACTGCAACTGAGGCTGCACCTTCACCACTGGCCTCTCCTGGCCTCTGTGAATACCGAGCCTCCCCTGCTCTCCCTGACTCTGTCAATCCAGAAGCTCTCATGCTTGCCAAGACTTAATACACGGGTGACGCTTACACATTTACCAAGTATGGCTGCCAGCAGGAGATGCAGCCTTAGCCCCCTCTGGATGATCTCCAAAGACTTCACCTCCACGATGCTGGGCTCTTAATTACCGCAACTGTCTCAGCTCTAGCTGAAGAGCATCAGCTGCCCCAGGAAAACAAAGGCTTCACTTTTGGGGCGCTGCTCTCTTGTTAATCACTGCTGACCAGACGCCAGAGATTCTCAGTTCAAAACACCACACGACCAACTCTGATAAGGTCTCAGAAGAGCTTTCCAGCCTCCCTCTGAGACTTCGCCAGCCAGCCTGCAGATCTGCACTGCCTTCGCCCGTCTCTTCCGAGTTCCCACAGGACAACCCATTAAGCAAGCACTCAACTGCTTTTTAGCTCAAAGTTCCAAACTCCTTCCACCATCCTCCTCAGACAGCATACCTCCCCTAAACCCCGTATCAATGTCCGTCATGGTTTGATGTCTATGCTGTCATAAACACCATGACCAAAGAGCGAGTTGGGGAGGGAAGGGTTTGTATGGCTAACACTTCCACGCCGTAGTCCATCAGTGAAGGAAGCCAGGACAGGAACTCAAACAGGGCAGGAACCTGGAGGCCGGACTGATACAGAGGCCATGAACGAGTGCTGCTTACTGGCGTGTTCCCCAAGGCTTGCTCAGCCTGCTTTCTTATAGAACCCAGGACCACCAGCCCAGGGGTGGCCCCACCCACAATGGGTTTGATTTTTCCCCATTGATATCAATAACTAATTAAGAAAATGCCTTACAGACTTGTCTGCAGTCCAGTCTTATTGTTCTCAGTTGAGGCTCCTTCCTCTCCAACGACTCTAGCTTGTGTCAAGTTGACATAAAACTACCCAGCACTGTGAACTGGGGGGGGAGAGGCTCCCTCATAAATCATTAATAAGAAAATGCCCTACAGACCTGCCTACAGGAAATCTAATGGAGGAATTTTCTCAGTCGAGGTTCCTCCTCCCAGATAACTCTAGTTTGTGTCAAGTACCCCATACAGACACCAAAAACACCCAAAAAACTAACCAGAACACCTGGCCACCTTTGCCCCTCCCCACCTAGCAGAGGATTTCCTTCTGGGGGCCAACCACCCCTCTGGGATGCTGAGTCTGGGGGTCAGTTCTCATCATCCTTGACCTGTGGCAGGATTTACACACTTCCCCTCCCCTCTGTGCAAACGCTTCCTGCACTTGGTGCCCAGGAAGTCATGTTTCTGCCCTGGCTGTTCCCTCTCTTTTTCCTTTGTTGGTTCCATCTTGTCTACTTGCTACCTAAGTGTAAGTGAACCATCACAGGGTCATGGTTCAGGGCCTCGCTTCAGTCCTCTGTATACCGGTTCTCCAAGACCTCACTTGGTCTGAGGTCTCAACATTGTCTGTAACCATCTTGGCCAGTGTTCTGTTGGTGTGAAGAGACACCGTGATCAAGGCGACTCTTACAAAAGAAAGCATTTAATTAGGGGCTTGCTTAGAGTTTCAGAGCTTGGTCTATTATCGTCACAGCAGGGAGCATGGTGACAAGAAGGTGTGGTGCTGGAGAAGGAGCTGAGAGAGACAGAGATGGGGGGAGAAGGGGGTGAGGGGGAGAGAGAGAGGGAAAGAGAGAGGGGGGAAGAAAGAGAGAGACAGAGACAGAGAGAGCGAGAACAAGCATTTAAGCCTGGCACGGACTTTTGAAACCTCAAAGCCCACCCCCAGTGACACCAGTGAAGTACTTCCTCCACCAAGGTCACACCTACTTTGGAAGGCCACACCTCTTAATCCTTCTAACCCTTTTGAACAGTTCCACTCCCTGGTGACTAAGAATTCAAACACGTGAGCCTGTGGGTCTGTTCTTACCCAAACTGGGACAATGATCCCCGACAGCTCCATATTCCCACCTCTAGCCTTGTGACCTGCCGCTTGCCTGGTAGGTTGTTCTTTGCCTTCTCAGAACAAAGTCTCAAGACTGAGTCCCAGCCTGCTGCCCCACCCCTCCCACACAGGTCCCATCAGGACCAGCTCGGTTTCTCCCACTCTCCAGCTCATCACTGATGACTCTCTGCCCCCCACACGCAGCCAGCAGAAGCCCCCATCTTGTACTCTGTAGATACACTCAGTCAGGCTCTCTCCCCAGCCCTGGTGCTACAGCCGGCTCCAGGCACAACGCTAGCCCAATGACACCCTGCTGTCCCCACCCCATATCCGACCTGGACCCAGAAGCTCCATTCTCAACAGTTGCCAGACCCACCGCCTCTCAGGGCTTTTTCCTACCCTGGGGCCTTTGCACTTGTGAACACTCTCTTTCTGGGATGTTCTCTTTCATGTGGTCTACCTGGTATGCTCCTAATGGAGACCCTTCTTGTTTCTCGCCCCCTTTCCTATTTCACTTTCTCCTTTACCATTTTCTCTCTCTCTCTTCTCTCTCTCTCCTCTCTCTCTCTCTCTCTCTCTCTCTCTCTCTCTCTCTCTCTCTCTCTCGCCTCCCTTTGCCAACAGAAGACAAATTCACAGCAGAATAAACCATAGGTTCTGTGTTCCTCGCCACCTTGTGCCCAATGCCCGCAACAGAGCCTGACAATGCACACGGACATTCAGTAAGCACCGGCTGTCTACCCATCAGGTGTCACAGAAAGCTTGACCCAGGCCCCACTGCAGTGGGGAACTGGGAGCCGAGGGCTATGACTAACACAGTCAGGTGTTGAGTGAGGGCCAAATCCCCTCAGATGGGAATGAGTGACCCAGGTCACCAAGACACACCTTCCGGGTGACCAGCTTTAGTTGGTTAACTCACTAGTCCTGGCCGCTGCAGTATCCTGAGTTGAGTACCTGAGTGAGAGACCCCACTAGGCTGTGGGCTGGACATTTTCTGCAGTCTTGGTAGGGGGAAGGACCCCAGACCCTCCACACAGAGGGGCCCTTCTGCTCTCTTGGCTGGTAGCCAGGGCCTCCTGGAATGCCCTGTGTGGTCAGGGCTGAAACGCCACCAGCCCGATGGGTCGCAGCTATTAAAATGCCGGTGTCAGTATCAAAGGGAAGATGCCAGGCAGCCACTTGCTTCCCCAGAGAACATAGTTCCATCCCAGCTTGGGCTTAGGGGCCACTCACTCCCCATGTCCTGGCTCAGGGCTCTTAAAGGGACCAGGCACCTACCCGACCTGGGCCTCTGTCACGCATGTGTATAGACGGTAGAAGACAGTGAGGCCAGAGGCCGTGTGTCACTGTCCTCCGGGGTTGTCCCTCAAGAGAGGGTTTTAAATAAGACATTGCCTCCTGACACCATGCAGGTGTTGAGGCAGATTGGCGGTGCAGCCAAACAGGAAGCGGCAGGGATAATCCCTAGTAGTTGAGAGGGACACACTCCACTCCACGGGGTTGGGTTGTAGCTCAGAGGTATAAAGTGTCTGCTGGTAGGCGTGAGGTTGTGGCTTACATCCTCTGCACCACAAAGAAAAATGAAAAGGCCAGGTAGAGCGGTGGGTCGGTCTGTAGTTCCAGCACAGGGATTAGGGCAGTTTGGAGGCCTGAGTGGGCTGCTGAGTCTCCGCAAGGCACCAGCAAAAGAATACACAATGGGCAGGGCTATAGCTGTTAGCGGAGTGCTTGCTAAACCGGTAGCCCATAAACTGAGTTAGCTGAGTGCTTGCTAGGCTCCTACAAAGCCCCGAGTTAAACCTCCAGTAGCCCATAAACTGAGTGCCTGCCTCTAATCCAAACACTTAGAAGGTGGAGGAAATAGGGTCAGAAGTTCAAGGTCGTTCTCAGCTACACACCAAGGTTGAAACTAATCCGAGTTGAAACTAATCCGAGCTACGTGAAACTCTGTCTCAAAAATATTTTAGATCACCCAGTGGTGGTGGCACATGTACTCAGGAGGCAGAAGCAAGCTGGTCTCTGTGATTTCAAGGCTAACCTGGTCTACAAAA